TGTATTTTTTAAAAAATACAGCTTATCACTCACTTTATTGTACTTATGTGAAAATATTGCAGTGTTGAAGTAATGAGTAACTTGTCCTTGCCCCCCCCCCCCCCATAAAGAATGTTTTCTCTGGAAAAGTCATTTGGGAAAGAATTTTTCTTTTTCTTTCTTTTTTTTTTTCTACTGGGAGAGTGATTTTTAATTACTATTTAAATATTTATGGAATGTCTTTCTTTTTCTTACAGTTGTGCCAAATCTTTGGAATGTTGATGGAGAAGTTACAGTCACGGAACAAAAGCCAGGAGAAATTGCTGAAGAACTAGCAAGCTCCTATGAAAGAAAGCTCATTGAGGTAAGGCAGGCAGAGTCTATACGTCTATATTCCTATTGTTGGCTGCTTTGGGGACTTTCCAGGAACAGAAAATACCCCCAACAAAACATAAAATGATAAAATCAGTTTACTTGGTAAAGAAAAGAATGGATTTTTTGAAAAATATCACTTAATTAGAAACTTGTGGAACTCACGGCAAGAAAATAAGAGAAAAAACAAATATATAATGTTAGAAATAAGACAACTAATGTAACCTCAGATTTGGAGATTAAAAACAGGAGAGAATATCACATACAACTTGGTGCTGATAAATATGAAAATATGGATGAGGCGGAGTATTTCCTAGGATAACATTCATTATCAAAATTAAATGAAGATGAGGCAGACTGCCCAAAGGGACAGAAAAACTGTAGAAGACAGTTGCAAAAGTGCTTACTAGGAGCTAGCAGGCCTAGGTGGTTTTATGGTGATTTCCAGGAAAACTTTCAAATAATATACAACAAACCCTTTGCTCTTTATATTTTCTTAAAAAGCATTTTTTTTTAAGTGTATATCTGTGTCTTGGTTCAAGTGTCCCTTAACCTGATGTAAAAAACCTGAAAAAGGCCGGCCCGGGGGCGCACTGGATAGTGCGCCGCTTGGGAAGCGTGGTGGCGCTCCCGCCCGAGGGTTCAGATCCCACATACAGACCGGTTCCCGCTCACTGGCTGAGCGAGGCGCGGGAGCAACACCGAGGGTTGCGATCCCGTTGCTGGTCCCC